CCGACTCGCCGAGTAGGGACGGGGTCCGGAACACGTTTAAGTTGGCGACTCGGCGAGTCCATATTCTGGACTGGGTGAGTCCCCACTATCTGATGAAACCCTAAATTTCAAGGGTTTTCACCCTATTTAAACCCTCTTATCCGCCCCTAAGCTCGCCCCCTTCACCCTCAGAGCTCCCCATAACGTCCAACCCTTGTTCCTTGTGAGATTGAAGTGCTTTGGTGTGTTTTCTTGAAGATTTTGAGAGAAAAGGAGAGTAGATCAAGAAGAGAAGAAGGAGGCCATACATCTTGGTGTTATTTCACTGATTTCCTTAAGGTATAACTCAATTTCCCTCTGTTTTCATGCTCATTATCCCTTGTAGCTCCATGAAAGCCCTTCTTGGACCTTTTTCCCAAGCTTGTTGTGTCTTAGGGTTCGTAATAAGTTGTTTAGCCTCTAGATCTAGGCATGATTGAGCTCCAGGAGCTTGGATCTATTGCCTTTATGGAGCCATAGTGCATGAAAGCCCTAGATCTACTCTTTTGGTACATTTTGAACCCTAAAACCCTCATGGGTGTTTATTTACACATAAAGTTGGAAACTTTACGTGTAAACCAGGCCCTAGGAACCCAGATCTATGAATGGCATGGGTTAGATTCAAGCATAATCGCGTGTATAGTAATTGCATGCGGCAGACTCGGCGAGTCGAGTCGCGAGTCCCTGAGTTTTCCCCCTTTGTGTGTTTGCGGGTTTAAGTAGTGAGTAATAGGGCGTGACTCATTGGGTTGGAAACCAGACTCACTCATGTAGTAACTCGACGAGTCAATGCCATGACTCGGCGAGTTCAAGGCAATCACCTTGCCTCAAGAACGGACTCGACGAGTTGTTCATACAACTCGACGAGTCTCAGCATAGAGTGTTCTTTAGATGAAGATGAACTCGACGAGTTGTTCATACAACTCGGCGAGTAGAATGAAGAACGTTTGGTCATCAGCTTAGAAGGAAAACTCATCGAGTCAATGCCAAACTCAAAGAATAGAGATGGGTTAGTGGTCAGACAAAGGGATAGGGACTCTGTGAGTTAACAAGCTAACTTGGCGAGTCGGGTCTACTGGTAGTTGACTTTGACTTATGGTTTGGTTAAGGGTAAATGGTCAGTTTACCCTGAGGTCGGTTAGCAGTATTTGACTAAGTGTTTGGTGCGAATTACAGCCGGAGGATTTCCGAAGCAGCAGCAGCAGACAGACAGTTCCCACACAGAGCAGCAGCTACGAGGTGAGTTGCCTTCCAATAGCGGTGGGACTATGGCCACAATGCCGGCCCACCAGTAGGAGTTGCATGATAGATGATGGTATCTGTGATATTCATCTAGGGTTGCTACTACTTGTGTTATGTTTATATGCTAGTATGATATGATGCTATGTGATATGTGTTATGTGGTAGCAGTAGGGGGTGAAATAGTCCCCAGTATTCGGTCGCAAGGACCGAAGGGTAGGTCGGGAACCCAGATATGCCCGACAGTATTCGGTCGCAAGGACCGAAGGGTAGGTCGGGCACCCAGATATGCCCGCCAGTATTCGGTCGCAAGGACCGAAGGGTAGGTCGGGCACCCAGATATTCCCGACAGTATCCGGTCGCAAGGACCGAAGGGTAGGTCGGGCACCCAGATATGCCCAGCAGTATCCGGTCGCAAGGACCAAAGGGGTAGGTCGGGCACCCAGATATGCCCGACAGTATATGTATGTTATGTGATTTTATGGTATGTAGTACGGTGGGGGAACTCACTAAGCTTCGTGCTTACAGTTTTCAGTTTTGGTTTCAGGTGCCTCTTCTTCGGAGGGGAAAGAGCTGGCGCGGTAGCGGCCCATCACACACACACGCCTTGTATTCCGCACTATGAGATTTCCTGGGGATTGTCCTCTGACGTTGTTATGTTTTTATAAACTGAATTCCAGACACACACACTTTTATGAATGTTATGATCGGTGTATGTTTTACTACTAATGTTTTGCTAATTATATGTTTTCAAAAATGAAAATTTTGGCACGTATTTTTGGGACGTTACATCAAGTCTGCATGATCGCCAAGGTTTAGAGTACACCGGGTGAACACATTGTTCATAACACCTACAGACTGCGAGCCTGCTAGTGTTCCACTAGACTGTCTAGAATAGTCTGTGGTTGTCATCCATACTCTACTAGATGACGGGGCCAACATTTGGGAACAAGGCTTCTCACATCATCCACCTCTCACCTTTACCTCATGGTTTATATCACCTCTCAACTCATCATCCAACTCATATTTCATCTACCCATGTTTTACCCAATATATTATGTAGATATAAATACATATACAATTTAAATCATATAAAACTTGTATAAAATCGTTCATCCAACATAGATAGAAATTATACAGATAATATGCACACATAGCATGTAGTTTATATAAAATACTTCACATCTATGTGTAAGATGAAAGGGACCATGCACTCACTTGATAAGGTGGTGACTCGGTACTCGGACATCGATTCGTTTACTTTAAAATAATTTCCTTTGACAAAACCTAGTATTATTACCACTAGATTTTAGTCTAATATTACCGTGACTAATATTATTATTATATAAGCATTTAAACAATACTTTCCAACCACTATGTACAGACAGAGGCCAGACATAAAACACCGGAGGGCAGGACCATTTTGGCATATAGCACTTCTGAAATCCAACAACCCTATGCGGTCCTTTAAACCAGATTCCCCGTACCACGAGTAGTTAAAAATATATTATAATGACACTTATATAATAGTAGCTCAAATGTTTATTATAAGTTCATATTAACAATACTTATTTTAAATATAAGCTATATTAAAATAAGGTAAGCATAACTTACTTATAAGGGGGTTTTAGCTAGGAGTCAGACTCTGTAGGGGCATAACTTTGTCGCTGAATCTTTCTAAGAAAGATTCGTGCAACGCTTCAGCGCTCACTTTACTATACTAAAACTACAGAAAGAGAAGTCGAATCACGAGGGACCGAAATGCTCGAGGGATAAGAACAGAATTACTCTTGAATCAAGAGAATGATGCAAGAAATATGAGAGCCCGAGCTTCTTATTATAGTAATTAAATTTACAAAAACTACCCTCCAAAATTACATTATGAGCTTATATTTATATAAATGACTAAACACCCTTTCATAATACTATTTTAAATATATTTAATGATATTTGTACTAAACTAATATCGAAGGTACTCAACACTAGTCTTATAATAACTGCATCGTTGATACCTTTCTAATGATATATACATTTGTATATATATATATATATATATATATATATATATATATATGTGTGTGTGTGTGTGTGTGTGTGTACGTATATATGATTTATACTTTATTTTAATACATAAATATGCTATTATAATTTGTAACTCGTTCATAGGAACTCCATTTTTGACGTTCTTTATATCCACGCCTTGGTATTTACGAGTACTATAACTTTCATTTAGAGGTTGTCAGCTAATTTTCATTCTATCTCAGATTTACAAAATTGTATCGAATTTATCGCGCTCGAAGAGTAGGGACCAAGTTTCGTCCATATCTTTAACATACGAGCTCTACTCTCGACATTCTTTATATCTGCGCGTAGGTAAAAACAAGATCTAAAAATTTCATTTAGACTCCATCGGCTAATTCTCGACCGATCTTAAATTTAACAGTGGGAGGAGATTATACTTTTAAATGTCCGTGTAAAATTCATAACCTCTACATACAGACTCCGTTTTCGTCTGTCTTTCTACTGTTGAGTTCCTATTAATGAGATCTTCAATTCTCATTTAGGTCGCGTAGGCCAGAAACTACTCGAATTAAAATTCGAGTTTCGGGTCGTGCAATACTATGCCAAATGTTAGAAAATTCATAACTTCCTCATACAAAGTCAGATTTGGGCGTTCTTTTTATGGACGCTCTCAGTTTAACATATTCTACGAGTTTTGTTTAGATTAATAAGGATAAAAAGTCATCTATCGTAAATTCACTATTTACGTCTCTCGGTGCCGTGCCGGTTTTGCCGAAAAACTTTGACAGGTCATAACTTCTTTGTTATAACTCGGATTTTGGCATTCTTTATATGTACTGGACCCTTGTAACATATACTAAAACTTGGTTAAGATTAATCTTTCTAAATAATCTTCCATCAAAAACTCATTTTTTATGTTTATTATCTCTAAATTGACTTGCCCGGATCTGTGGGCGTCACATTTTTCAATTATATTTAATTCAATAATATGTATCAATCACTTTCTTAAAATAACTAAAATGATTGGTCCATAATCATTCCTACATCCACACAATAGTTAGTTAGAATACAATAACACAAGGCTATATATATATATATATATATATATATATGTATATATATATATATATATATATATATATATATATATAAATATATATATATATATATATATATATATATATATATATATATATATATATATATATATATATATATATATATATATAGGAGTAAGATCAAATGAGAACACCCAAAAGGTTGAGAACGAATCTAAACCATTTAAAAAACTAAATCCAAGGTTATTATCGAATGAACTATTTATGTAAAATTTTAAAAGTTACTGGTATTAAAGTGTAACTTCAAATCATGATAATGGTATTATAGTAATTGGACCTTTACCACTGTTAGTTAATTCCTATAATTCCTCAATCACTCACTTATTTCCTTCCATTTCCTCTTTCTCTCTCTCTCTCTCTCTCTCTCTCTCTCTCTCTCTCTCTTCATCTCTCTTTGTAAACCTAGGTACGCCTCCACCCTACATCATTGATCCACTACCAAAAGGGAATCGATTGGAATTTTTGAAGCCAAACAAAAAAGGAAAGGGAAACAGGATCTCTAAATTGCTGTTGATCGGAGGAGAAGGATTCACAAACGGAGCAGGGATTGGGAGGCATAAATTGATTGGGGGATGTTCGATCCTCGTCTGATCGAGAAGGGAGATGGTGAAGCAGCGATGTTTGAGGCATATTGCGGCGGTAATCGGGTGGCCCAACGAGCAGACGACAACCCTAGTGGTCGGAAGTTGTGGTATGTTTCCGATTAATGTCACCTAATCTTTTCAAAAAAAATTTAGTTTTATACAAATGCTAGGAAAAGTGGTATCTTTGGAATGAATATGAGTAACAAAATATTCAGCCAAAGTAGTAGGACTCTTTTAGTTTCCTTTTGATACTTGGATTGAGTTATTATGTTGACAATTGGAAAAAACAAATTCTTGCAGATTGGCACATCCAGGAGGACCAATGAAGACTAGTAAAGCTGCTGCATTAGCTAAGTTTTTGGAACGGAAGTCACAGGAACCTAGTGGATTATGTTCTATTAATCCCAAACTTCTGGAATTGGCTGTGAAAAATGCCAAAGAGACTGTTAGAGCAAGTAATCATCCTCATCCCATTGAAAATACATATTTTGGTGTAGTATTTAACATCTTGTGGTTTATGTATGTAAGATGATGTATGCAGGTACCACTTCAAATTCAGAAAGGAGAATACAACATGTAAACTCATTTAGTGACTATAAGGTGCTTTCTTTATCTACTTCTGAAAAGTCAAACGTTGTTATCATCTTTGTTCATATTTCATTGTCGATTTTTTAATCTTTAGGTGAGACTCTGAATGTGGCAGGATATGATTTAAGAAGACCAAGAAATGGAAGGGAAGCCAATCAGACTGAAGAAAAAGAAGAAGAAGAAGAAGAAGAAGAAGAAAAAACCGAAGGTGTATTTTATTTTTGACCTTTGGTTTTAGTTAAGTTAAATACTAAGAATCAATGATAATGCTAAAGTCATTAATGAATGGTGTGTGTAATTTCCAAAATATTAAAGATTTGATAAAAATAACTTAACTATGATTGATTGCTAGCCTTCTTAAATTATTTTTTGTAGTTTATTTTTGTTGATTAAATTTGGAGAGTTCGAAACAAAAACCCAATCTCATATAGTTCTGATCGTTTTTTTTAATTATTTCTCAATGTTATATACAATTTTATGCCTTCTTTGTTTGTGATTACAATGCACCGGACTTCAGATATTTTGTATGTTATTCATTGATGAATATGTAATATAGCTAGCCTTCTTACACCTTGATTTTTTTTTGTATATACAATTTTGTATGTTATTAATTGATGAATATGTAATAGAATATGAAGCTTCTTTTCTCTAACAGTGAAATCTATTAATTTTCTTAATTTTTGTTATGCCCTCTGGATTTTGAGGCTAGCAAAGATGCATATAAATGTACAATAACAATATATTCCTATTTTGAGTTTCTTATAATGTTTTTTAAATTGGTTTTTTATTTGCTTCTAAAAATAAGGTGATATAGATATCATTTATTGTTTTGGTTTTGTTAATATAGAGTAAACACATTACTCTTTTGGTATGTAATTGATCATTTTCATGTAGACCTGGAATTAGATTCACAGGAAAAGATTGTGAACGGAAGCTATATGATGAATTTTGTGAGAGAGATATGGTTCGTTGAAATTAATGATTTATGTGTATTCGAATATGGGTTTTTCTGAAGGTCCTTTGGAATTGTTTGAGAAGATGAAAGGTGAAGAATTTCAGCTAGAGGAGAATGAAAAACTATATTATATTTTGGTGTATTCATCTATGATAGAAAGTGTATTTAATTATAAATAGTAGTGTATTCATGTGTGAATGAGTGTATTTGTTTATGATTAGAGGTATTGTTAATTCTTACACTATTTTTATTTTGTATTTATTTACGAGTACCGGTGTATTTATTTGTGAATAATAGTGTATTCATGTGTGAATGGTTGTTTTTATTTCTAAATAACATTGTATGCATGTGTGAATGAGTGTATTTATATATGATTAGAGGTATTCACTTTTTTTAAGAAATTAAAATGTTTACACTATTTTTATTTTCATTTGATGAAAAAAGGCATTGGATTATTTGTAAATTGATGTATATTCATTTGTGATTGGAGTCGTATTAGGTTTTTTGAAGAAAAATTTCGTTTTTTAATACAAGTGTTTTGATTTGGGATTGAATTTCTATTCATTTTTTGAAAAAAAATATAAAATTCGAGGAAAAAAATTGATTTTTTATTTTCAGTTTTAAATTAAATTTTGGTAAAAATGTTTTTTTTATATTCCATTAATAAGTAAAATTAAAAATAGAATTTTTTTTGGTAACCGATCCTAAATTTAAGGGAAATTAATTGAATTTTATTTTATTTTAATTTAATTAAAATATACAATTATTAATATACCATTGCATATTGATTGGTCAAGAATTGTTTTCGTATTCTCAACCTTTTCAGTGTTATCATTTGATACTTTCCATCTTTATATATATATGTATATATATATATATATATATATATATATATATATATATATATATATATACACACACACACACACACTAATAAAAGAGTAGTTCTTTTGCAATGTGTCACCATGTTAGGTATTGTAATAAATATCATGACACTTATCAATCTATTGACACTTGTAATTAATATCATGACACTTATCAATCTATTAATTTTCCATTTCAAATTTCAAATTTCAAAATTTAAATCACATTTTAATTACATTAAATTAATAATATTAGAATAAAAATAAAATAAAATTTATACAAATTATAGGATGATATATTTTACGTATTTATTTGAATCAATGATTATAATTTTATATATAACTAAAAAATATCTTTTAATTATTTAGTTATTTAATATTATTAATTAATAGTTTTGAGTTTTTACTTAGAAAGTTTAATTAATTTTCTTGAATTTTAAGAGGTATAAAATAGTATATATATATATATATATATATATATATATATATATATATATATTAGTAATATCTTGAATTTTAAGAGGTATAAGTTACAAAAATTTTTGTACAAATCATTTATACCTAAATAAATCTTTAATACTTGCCAAATGTTTGAAGCCTTCTATTAAGAAAAGTTATTAAGAAATTTAATTTGGAGTAAAGTGACAATTGTAAAACATTGAATTCATATATAGAAATTATTTTATATTTCTTAAATTAGACACCGATATTAATGAATTTACATCAAATGTATAAACAGATAATATAAATATAAGGTCTAAACCTAAATATTTTATTGAAAAGTGGTAATTTTTTTTATACATGATAACTAATAAAAATTTAATAATTATTTCCCCATGAGAAATTTATTTTCTAAAATAATTGTTTATTGTCGTCCCTTTGCGCGGACATTTAGGTATAATTGATTTGTACAATATATTTTGTAACTTATACCTCTTAAAATTCAAGATATTATTGATATGCTTATATATATATATATATATATATATATATATATATATATATATATATATATATATATATATATATATATATATATATATATATATATATATTATATATATTAGTTTGTGACCCGTGAGAACCACAGTTAGAAAATTAATTAAACTTTCTAAGTAAAAACTAAAAACTATTAATTAAAAGTTTTAAATAACTAAATAATTAAAAAATATTTTTTTAGTTATATATAAAATTATAATCATTGATTCAAATAAATACGTAAAATATATCATCTTATAATTTGTATAAATTTTATTTTATTTTTATTCTAATATTATTAATTTAATGTAATTAAAATGTGATTTAAATTTTGAAATTTGAAATTTGAAATGGAGAATTAATAGATTGATAAGTGTCATGATATTAATTACAAGTGCCAATAGATTGACAAATGTCATGATATTTATTGCAATGCCTAACATGGTGACATATGGCAAAATAACTACTCTTTTATTAGTATAAGGATATATATATATATATATATATATATATATATATATATATATATATATATATATATATATATATATATATATATATATATAAGATCAAATGAGAACACCTAAAAGGTTGAGAACGCGAGAACAAGTATTGTAACACCGCGAGTTCAGAAGTTCAAGTTCAGGTTTCTTAGTGTAATTATGGAAGGCCGACTCGGCGAGTTGAGTCGCGATTCTGGTCACGCGTTAAGTGACCAACTCGGCGAGTTGGTGCTGAAGAGAGAATAACCTAAATCTTTGGGTTTGCACTCTGTTTAAAGGACTTAATGCCCTCCCCTCAGTCCCCTTAGCCCGTTTTGAAGTCCAGAAACCCTATATCCGTTTGTGAGAGCATTGGAGAGTATTTGGAACCTTGATAAGTGGTTGGTGAAGAGATCTTTGAAGATTAAGAAGGCTGGAGCAAAGGGCTTTGCAGAGATTTGGTTCATTCTTCAGTTGGGGCTTCCTTTTGAGGTAATAATTTGTTGCTTGAGCTTTTGTGCATCTAGATCTATCAGTTGTGGGATATTTGGGGCATAAATGAGGTCCATCTCGAGTTTGGTGTAAGATCTGAGGTTGCTACCTCAGATCTAGGCTTGTAATGACCCTAGGAGCCATAAAGTCTATGATCAAGAGATGTAGGTGAAGTTCTTTTGTCCCAAGCCTTAGCCCAAGAGTGTATTATGCTTGGATCTCTTTGGATTCACGTAAAGTTTGCCATTTTACGTGATGGATGGCTTGTAGGGGAGTGGATATATGGATTGGAGCCCCCGCATGGCTTGGAAAGCCACTGTATGGATTAAGAACTAGAGGTACTCGACGAGTCACATGGGTAAACTCGGCGAGTTGGATGAAGATAGGCAGGAACTCGACGAGCTGGAAGAACAACTTGGCGAGTCTGTTGAAGATTGCCTTGGACTCGACGAGTATGTTCTTGGGCTCGGCGAGTTTGGTCGCACAGTTCTAACATTTTTGGTTGAGCTGTGAATTGGTGAGTCGAGGGACGACTCGGTAAGTTGAGCAGGAAGTGACTCAGAGTTCGTGGGACTCGGCGAGTCTTGGGGCGACTCGGCGAGTTGGGTCGTGATATGGGAGTTTTCAGAACATAGGGGCTCGACGAATCAGCGGGCTGACTCAACGAGTAGAGTCAGTCAGGCAGGTTGACTTTGACTAAGGACTTTGACTTCGACCAAGAGTTGACCAGTTAACTTCCGAGGATATTTTGGTAATTATTGGTATTTATTGAGTTCAGTTTTTTGGTGTCGATCAGTGGTGGAGTTTGTGTCGGAGGTTGGAGCAGCGTGATCCCATCTTTTTAGTCAGTAGTTGCGAGGTGAGTTATCCTCACTATACTAAGGGGTCTAAGGCACCAAGGCCGACCCAATGGATTTGATATCCTAGTAGTTATTGATATGTTGAGTTGAGTTAGTAATGTATGCCAGTTGATATGCTAGTCGGGTTGATCTGTAGGACTGCCTGTGTTACTAATTGATTACCTGTATGTGCATTTATCTGTTACCTGTCAACATGTTATGCGGGATGGTTTGAGGTTATACTACTCCGTGCGGTAGCCAACAAACCCTATAGTATTCCAGATATGAGCTGAGGGCGCGGTAGGCATTCCAGACTCATACTGAGGACTCGGGAGTATTCCAGATATTAGCTGAGGGGCCGATAGGCATTCCAGACTCCTATTGAGGACTTGGGAGTATTCCAGATATGAGTTGAGAGCCCGATAGGTATTCTAGACTCATACTGAGGATTCAGGAGCATTCCAGATATGAGCTGAGGGCCCGGTAGGCATTCCAGACTCGTACTGAGGGCTCGATGGCATTCCAGATACGAGCTGAGGGCCCGATAGGCATTCCAAACATGTACTGAGGGCCCAGGGGATAGTCTAGCTTGTAAAGTTGTGGACCCAGTACATGC